GATTCACTGATGAATTCTACCAAACATTTAAAGAAGAACTAACACCATTTTTTTTGTGTGTGAATAAAATGATAGAGTTTTATTAAGTGAGGATACAGAAAAACTCTCGGGGCGGGGGGGGTCCCAACAGGCTTGCCCCTAAAACTATTTGTTCTCAAATTTTTCCAAAATAACATAGAGAACACTTACTGACTCATTCTATGAAGCTAGCATTACCCTAATATCACAGCCAGACAAAGATAGTATTAGAAAACTATAAACCAGTATCCCTTGTGAATATTGATGTAAAATTCTCAGTAAAATACTAACAAACCATATTCAGCATAATAAAAGGGTTATACACCATGACCAAGTTGGATTTATTCTTGGAATGAAGGATGGTTTAGCATACATAAATTGATCAATGTGATATATACCACATTAACAGAATGAAGGGGAAAAACTCTGTGACCATTGCAATTGATGTAGAAAAAGCATTTGATTAAATTCAATACCCTTCTATGATAAAAAAAACAGCAAACTAGGAATAGAAGGAAACTATCTTGACATATTAAAAGCCATATATGAAAAACTGAAAACTTGTCCTCTCGGATCAAGAAAAAGATAAGGATGCTCACTTTTCCACTCATATTCAACATGGTACTGGAAGTCCTAGCCAGAGTAGGCAAGAAAAAGAAATAAAAGGCATTCACATTGGAAAGGAAGAAGTAAAATTATCTCTGCAGATTATATGATCCTATATGTAGAAAACCATAAAGTTCCACACAAAAAACTTTCAGAACTAATTAAGACATTCAGCAAAGTAGCAAAACACAGAATCTAGTTTCATTTCTGTACATTAACCGTCAACAATCAATAGAGGATATTAAGAAAACAACTCCATTTATAATAACATCAAAAATAAAAAAACTACTTAGGAATTAATTTAACCAACGAGGTGAAAGACTTGTACAGTGAAAACTATAAAACACTGCTGAAAGAAATTAAAGAAGATACAAGTAAGTGGAAACATATTTCATGTTCATGGATTGGAAGAATTTGTATTGTTATGATATCAAAACTGTCCAAACTGATGTTTTTTGCCGAAATGGAAAAATCCATCCTACAATTCAGTATGTCATTTCAAGGTACCCCCAAATAGCCAAAACCATGTTGAATAAGAATAACAAATTTGGAAGACTAATTCTTCTGATTTCAGAACTTACTACTAAGCTACAATAATCAAAACAGTGTGGTACTGGCATAAATACAGATATATAAACCAATGGAATGGAATAGAGTCCAGTAACAAATCCTTGAATACATGGTCAAATAATTTTTGACAAGGGTGCCAAGACCGTTCACTGGGGAAAGGACAGTTTTTTCAATAAATGGTACTGGGAAAACAGGGTATCTATGTACAAAAGAATGAAGTTGGACCCTTACCTAACATTGTCTATGGAAATTAACTAAATAGGTCAAAGACCTGAAATGTGAAAGCTTGGAAGAAAACATAGGGCAAAGCTCCCAGCATTGGATTTGGCAGTGATTTGTTGGGCATTGACACTGAAGGCACAGGCAACAAAAGAAGAAGTAGACAAATTGGACTTCATGAAAATTAAAATCTTCTGTGCACCACAGGATGCTATCAACCATGAAAAGGCAACTTACAGAATGTGGGGCAATACTGGCAAATTGTATGTCTGATAATGGGTTGATATCCAGAATATATGTAGAATTCTTAAAACTCAGCAACTACAAAAAACCTGATGCACAGCTGGGCAAGGGACTTGAGTAGACATTTCTCCAGAGAATATATATGAATGGTTCATAAGCACATGAAAAATGCTAAACGTCACAAATCATTAGGGAAATGCAAATCAAAACCATAATGAGATACCACCTCACACCTAGTCAGATGGCTACTATAAAAACAAAACAGAACAGGGATGCCTGGGTGCTCAGTCGGTTAAGCGGTTGCCTTCGGCTCAGGTCATGATCCCAGGCTCCTGGGATCGAGTTCCACATGGTGCTCCCTGCCCGGCGGAGAGCCTGCTTCTCCCTCTGCCCCTCCCCCTGCTTGTGCTGCTCTCTCTCTCTCTCTCTCTTTCTGACAAATCTTTAAAGACAAAACAGAACAAAATAAGTGTTGGTGAGGATGTGGAGAAATTGGAACCCTTCTGGACTGTTGGTGGGAATGTAAAATGGTATAGCTGCTGTGGAAAACAGTATGGAGGTTTGTTAAAAATGGAATTACTGTATGATCCAGCAATTGCATTTCTGAGTTATATACCCCAAAGAGTTGAAACTAGGGTCTCAAAGAGATATTTTTACACCCATGTTCATAGCATTATTCACAATAATTAACACTTGGAAACAACCCAAGTGTCCATGATGTATGAATGACTAAACAAAATGTGGTATATACATAAAATGGAATATTATTTAGTCTTAAAAAGGAAGGAAATTCTGACTCATGCTACAGTATAGATTAACCTGTTGAGGACATGATGCCAATTGCAAAAATGCAAATACTGTATGCTTCCATTTATATGAAGTACCTAGAGTAGTCAAAAATCATAGAGACAAAGTATAATGATGGTTTCCAGGAGTTGGGGAGAGGGACAATGGAGAATTACTGTGTGAAATGTATAGTTTTAGTTTTGTAAAATGAAGAGTTCTGGAGATGGATGGTGGTGATGGGTGCATAACAGTATGAATGTGTTTAATATCATTGAACTTTACACTTAAAAATGGTTAAGATGGTAAATTTTATGTTTCTTGTATTTTCCCACGGTAAAAAAAAAATCATTTAAAAAACGTAATTAAGGCATGTTAAAGATTCAACTCAGTACCCATTTTGGTTCTTACTAGCTAATAGGCACTGTGAATTTGGATTTGTGCAGGGGCCTCAAATTAAATCTAAAACTGATCTTGGTTCTTTCTACCCTCTTATCCCCCAGTATCAGAGTCATAATAATGAGCTTTTTTTTATTAGGTTTATTTGAAATACTTAAGATGGAGTCAGAAAAAAGCAGCAAACCCTATTAGTTAAGATGTTTGTGCAACTGAGGTTTTTTACTTGGAAGAAAAACGAAATAAATTTAATTGTTACTTTCTAGTGTATGTAGTTTCCAAATTCCTGGGAATAAAGATGATGAAGATACAGTTGTAGCCCCCAATATGCTCAAAGTCAAAGAAGTGTACTTGGAAACAAATAATTATACTACAGTGTGATAATAAAAGAATTTTTTGAGAGTGGAGGTTTCAGAGGGGAGGGGTTGGTTGCCTGAGTTGAGTTGTAAAGGATGTCTATTCTAAGCCAACAAGGTGATGAATAAGAGCATTGAAGTCTGGAGTCAAATAAGTTGTACGTGAACATAGTGGGTCAAATAAGTTGGTAAGTTAAAGTTTTATATGTGGGACGATGACGGGCAGCAGGTGTGGTCCACAGAAGTAGGCTTTAAAAGAGGTTAGTTCGTTACATAGTAGAGTTACATTAAAGAGTTTTAAACATAAATTGTGTGCTTTACAGAGGGAATTTGTGTGTGTGTGTGTGTGTGTGTGAAGAATAGATTGGGGTAGGATAAAAGTGCTTGTGTTCCCTCTCTTGCTGTGTCTCTCTCTCTCTCTCTCTCTGTCAAATAAATAAATAAATAAATACATAAATCTTAAAAAAAAAAAAGGGTGGCTGTCAAATTGTTGTGGACTCCTACACGAGCAGTTTTACTTTAAATATCTGTCTGAGAAAATACGTTAAGACCAAAGACTGTTTTGAATTCAGCAGCTGTTTTGAATGAACTCTTGTTTTGTTTTTAATTTAAATCCATGAAAAGTAGTTCAAATAATCCTGAATACTATATGGATTTTCAAACCACTTGCTAAAGCTGGAGTCCGTGAGGGGTAGGACTGTGGGTTGGGAACCACTGCTGTGGAGAAAGTCTTAAAACATGCTTACTTCTGGGTGTTAAAATTTGAGATGTAGTCTGGAATAAAGATAGTATCCTTATAATACCCATCTCTGTCTGCATCTAGCAAAGTAATGGGACTTCTTTTTTGGTGTGGACTATGTATATTATCTTCATGGTGCAGGACAGGCATTTTTTTTCCTCTTTAAAAAGTAGTTTCTTGGCGCCTGGGTGGTTTAGTCAGTTAAGCATTGGACTCTTGATTTCGGCTGGGGTCATGGTCTCAGGGTTATGAGATTGAGCCCTGCACTGGGCTCTGCAGAGTCTGCTTGGGATTCTCTCTCCCTCTCTCTCTCTGCACCCCTACCCCGTGCTTGCACACGCTCTCTCTCTTTAAAAAAAAAAAAAAAGTTTCCTACATTAAAAAAAAAAATTTTAAGCAATCGGGTCTTTCTCTACCTCTCATCTCCAGAAATAGGCCTATTATAAAAGGTAAGGCATACCTACTTAATTCTTCTGAAATAGTTTTGGAATTTTGGATATATGAAGTTACGCTGATTTGTGTTTCATTTTTATCTTTTATGGTGGTACTTAATTTTTTTCTGTTCTTGAATATACAGAAAAGTATATGCTCACCAGCTAGAGATAACCAATGTTAATATGGTCTCAAAGTTAATTGAGATCACAGTTTGGCATCCTTTCTTCCTCTTTAAATTACTCAACTAATGTTTATATAATTTTTATGTCATTAAAAAGCCTTTGTAAAATTTTTAAATGGAAAAATGTTTATATACATAGTTGTATCATAATTTAGCATTTTTCTTAATGTTGGCTTATCATCATGGCTGATAAATTAAGAGTAATGAAAGATCAGACTACTTCTGATATAAGTGTTGGTCTAGTATGTATGTGACATAGTATATTGATCCAGGTTCATCATTTATCTTTGGAGTTAATCACTATTCAAGTGAATTTCATTTCAAGTTATTTTGTTGACTCCATTCTGTGTTTTCTTTTCTCACATCAATTCTTACTGAATTATTATAGCTTCAGGTTTTATTTTTCTTTCTAAAATATTTGCACACTAATTCAGATTTAAATACTGATGTTTAGGATAAAGATGGAGATAGAGCTGTTCACCATGCAGCTTTTGGAGACGAAGGTGCTGTTATAGAAGTACTGCATCGGGGCAGTGCTGACTTGAATGCTCGCAACAAGCGCCGACAGACGCCACTTCATATCGCTGTCAATAAAGGCCATCTGCAGGTCGTGAAGACTTTATTGGACTTCGGCTGTCATCCTAGTCTCCAGGTAAAATCTTTAATGACAGATATTCTGCAGGCGTTGCTAGGATTCTGTTAAGAGGAAATACTAAGTTCTGTGGTAAGCATTCCTTTGTTATCAGTTCATTTTTGTTTGATCATGTGATAAAATTGGCAGCTGTTCTTAGAAAAGACTTTTTAAGGAAAGTGTCAGTAGATTGGTTTTATATTGGAGGGTGGGGATGGGGACTTCCTTGCAAAAATATCAGCTTATGAATTGATTTAACTTTATTGATCATGACAGCTTCAGCAGCTTAAGAAGTATAATAGGCTGCATTTAATGAGAGTTACTTTATCTAAATTATTTCAGTTATAATCTTTGGGTCTTGGTCTAGTCATTAGTTTAGGAAGATTTTCTGTTTTGGAAAATATACAGGGTTTTAGGGTTGATTTTCAGTAGGACCTAATTTTTGAGGCAAGAGTTACTTAAGAGATGATTCCTGTCCACAGTTTTAGCAGCCAGATGGATTCGATTGGATAGATGTCAGAGAAGCAACAAAGAAGAAAAATAGGAGTAATGGGACTGAGGGTTTGAGAACTGAAAGAATTGGAGATTTTATTCAGCTAGATGGTTATCAGAGACTGGTATTTCTGAGGCATAGCATTTTGGAACTGACAGGGTTTGGAACTTAGAGCCTCTAAGTGGATTATAGAATTGGAGGATGGGGGAGGAATTAGACGGTGTTGATCTGTTGAAGGAGAGATAATTTGTACCTGTTGATTTTTTGGGGTCTGAAATGGCAGACAAAGTCATCTGTTGAGAGTGAATGGGGAGTAATAGGTATAGAAAAGGTAATTGAGAAGAGTGATAAATGTTTGGAATAGCTACTGTGGGGACCAGAAGGAAGGACGATCAGGGCCGGTAGAAGCTTATTCCAGCCATATTAAGAGCCTATCTCTTGGGATGCCTGGGTGGCTCAGTCGGTTAAACGTCTGCCTTCGGCTCAGGTCATGATCCCAGGGTCCTGGTATCGAATCCCACACCAGGCTCCTTGCTCAGTGGGGTGCCTGCTTCTCCCTCTGCCTGCCGCTCCCCATGCTTGTGCTCTCTGTTTCTCACTTGTACTATCTCTCTCTGATAAATAAATAAAGTCTTAAAAAAAAAAAACAACCTATCTCAAGTTGAAGACTATGAATTTTTAGTGCCACTAGATAGGAGGCTAGAAAGTGGCTGGTTGGATTGAACTTGGGTTAGGAATTTGTTATGAGGGTAGATGAGGATATGCCTGGGATTGGCCAACTTTTTCTGTAAAGGGCCAGATGATAATTAGGCTTTCATGTAGTTTCTATCATGACTATCCAGTGCTGCAATTGTAGCATGAAAATAGCCGTCGATAATACATAAATGGATGTGTATGGCTGAATTCCAATAAAACTATTTACAAAAACAGGTGGCAGGCTGAACTTAGCAACCATGGTATAAGCCATAGGTATGACTTAACTGAGAATAGTACTTATGAAACTATGGAATAAATGAGGTCTAAATTACCCACTTATGCAGATAATCTTCTAAATCAGTTGATTGATGAAAAAAGTAGTCAGCTTGAAAAAAAGGAAGACCGAGACTGCTAAATTTTCTTTTACATTTGTTTCTATTTTGATTAATTAGCCACTTTCCTGCCCCTTGACAACATTTAGATTAATATTTTCACCCATGACTACATAATATATTCAGCTGGGGGGCTCTGAAAAACTGCTAATGCCTGGGTCTTACCCCTAGAGATTCTGGTTTAGTTGTCCTGGAGAACAGCCTGAGTGTCTTTTTTTTTTTTTTTTTAAGATTTATTTATTTTATTTTATTTTATTTTTTTAAAGATTTTATTTATTTATTTGAGAGAGAGAGAATGAGAGACAGAGAGCACGAGAGGGAAGAGGGCAGAGGGAGAAGCAGACCCCCCGCTGAGCATGGAGCCCGATGCGGGACTCGATCCCGGGACTCCAGGATCATGACCTGAGCCGAAGGCAGTCGCTTAACCAACTGAGCCACCCAGGCGCCCTGTATTTATTTATTTTAGAGAGAGAATGCATGCTCATGCATGAGCGGGAGGGGCAGAGGGAAACGGAGAGAGAATCCCAAGCAGACTCTGTCAGTCATGGAGCCTGACACAGGGCTCAATCTCATGACCTTGATATCATGACCTGAGCTGAAACCAAGAGCCGGAAGCTTAACTGACTGCGCCACCCAGGCCCCCTGTGCCTGGGTATCTTTTTAAGAGCTCCCCTACAGATTCTGAATGTGCAGCCAAGGTTAAGGACTACTGACTTTCAATTCATTGCTCTAAGGCCCCAAGACTGGTGTAGGTTTGTTTTGAAAGTTTAGGGCATAGTGATTACTGACTGGTAGGAATCTGGTATAGTAGGCCATTTTAAACTAATGAATTTTGGGGGCAGCTTTCACCTCATTAATTTTTGTAATTAGCTGAATCATATTTGAGGGTACTTTTTAATTTTTCCTTTTCTTTGGTAGGCTACAACATGTTCATTGTGTTCTCCATCTAGATTGAGTATGAGTTTAATATAATGAGGCTAATGTTTCTTGCCTACATCTTTTTTTTTTTTTTTTTTTAGAGAGAGAATGAGGTAGAGAGCATGAGGGGGGGGAGGGTCAGAGGGAGAAGCAGACTCCCCGCTGAGCAAGGAGCCCGATGCGGGACTCGATCCTGGGACTCCAGGATCATGACCTGAGCCGAAGGCAGTCGCCTAACCAACTGAGCCACCCAGGCGCCCTCTTGCCTACATCTTAAAATTTAACACAGGTTGTTTATTGAAGGTTACTGGATATGGCTTCTGTTTAGTAGTTCAGTATTCATATTAATATTACATGTGATGTTTGATTCAAGAACTAATGAAAGTCTCTCTAAATAAAAAAAAAAGGATTCTGAAGGTGATACCCCTCTTCATGATGCAATAAGTAAGAAACGTGATGACATTCTGGCAGTTCTTCTAGAAGCTGGAGCAGATGTTACCATTACAAACAATAATGGATTTAATGCTCTACACCATGCTGCACTAAGAGGAAATCCCAGGTAAAGATCTCACCTTTACTATTTTATATGCAGTTTAAAAATTTTCCTAGTGCTGGTTCTTTTTTTCTGATACTGATGAGGAAATAATGGCATATTTTAGTACTTCATAAATCATTTTAAAGTCTGTGGAAATTACGTCTTCACTACATAGATTAGTTTTATATTATTTTTTTATTGTTAAACTTATACAAGTATTATGAAATGACTTACATATATTAAATATGTATGTAAAGTATCAAGAATACTTGCTTATATCTAAAGATTTAATTAAAATGCATTCAATTTTTGGGTACCTGGGTTGCTCAGTCGGTTAAGCGTCTGCTTTTGGCTCAGGTCATGATCCCAGGGCCCTGGGATCGAGCCCCGCATTGGGCTCCTTGCTCTGTGGGAAGCCCGCTTCTCCCTCTCCTCCCCGCTTGTCTGTCTCTCTCAAATAAATCACTGTCTCTCCTCTCTCTCTCAAATAAATAAATAAAATCTTAAAAAAAAAAATTTTTTTTAATGCATTTCATTTTGAGATATGTTTTTTTAAGATCATTCTCAGTGTGTCCTCTGATCTCATGTTATCCATTTGCATGATTTTTAAGTAGGCTCCATGCCCAGCGTGTAGTCCAGTGCGGGGCTTGAACTCAAGATCCTGAGATCAAGACCTGAACTGAGATCAAGAGTTGGATGCTTAACTGACTGGGCCATCCAGGCACCCCATTTGCATGATTGTTTTTTTAACTTGTGGCTAAATATTAAGTACCTAATTCTTTATTAATAATATAATTATATAAGCTTCTAGTGTAGATATTCCCCAACCATTGTTAACAATAGTGATAGGCAGTCTACTAGAAAAAAGATTTGCTGGTTATAGTTTGAGAAAAACTTCTGGGAAATCACAACTCATAAAGGATCTGCAGAGTCTCACAGAACAGGAAAATACTTAGTTTTGCTTAATTTAGAGCTTTCTATGAATGAATTTTTGGGAACAACTTAACCTTGAGAAGCATTTTAGAAAATTGCATTAGATGTCTTCTGTTTATAGTTGAATTAAGCCTGCATATCTTGCCTGAGGGAGCTAGCTGTTCACTTTGAAGTTTATTTTGACAGTTTATCCTGAATTCTTTTTTTAAAATTGAGATAAAATTGACATATAATATTGTTAGTTTCAGTTGCACAATATAATGATTTGATATATGAATATATTATGAAATGATTTCCATGGTAAGTCTGGTTAACATCCTTCACCACATGTGATTACATATTTTTTCTTGTGAGAACTTTTAATATTTACTGCTTTAGCAACTTTGAAATATACAGTACAGTATGAACTAACTATATTACATCCCCATGACTTCTTGTCCTCTGGTTCCATACTGCGTTTTTATATCATGTACCCTTCTAGTTTTTGCTGTTTTTTTAGCTTCTTAGGATCACCACTAGAGGGGGAGCACAGAGAACAAAAGGATTTTACTGCTATTGCTTGTTGATGCTCCTAACAGTGGGTATATAATGTGGGAGGAAATAAATGACCGTATTTTAGATTATGTCTTGATTTTTCAAATTACAAATATTTGAATACTTCATACTTCGGCACTGTGAAGGAGACAAAATAGTATTACATGTTCCCTGCCTTTCAAAGAGAAGATGATGATGATAGCACTTACACAGGCAGGGCCTCTACTAAATGGTTTACATGCATTATCTCCTTTAATCCTTTCAGAAAACAGCTTTTTGAGGCAGGTGTTAATATCCTCTTTTTATAGATAATATGAAGCTTATAAAGAGAGGAATTTACTTATTCAAGATCACACAGCTGACTGGTGGAGCAGCTAGAAGTTGAGCAACAATCTGCCTTAATAGATCGTAGGGGTGCCTGGGTGGCTTAGTCAGTTAAGCATCTGACTCTTGATCTCAGCTCAGGTCTTGATCTCATGGTCGTAAGTTCAAGCCCTGCGTTGGACTGCACGCTGGGCATGGAGCCTGCTTTATTTTATTTATTTTTTAATTTTTTAAATTTAAATTCAGTTAACATATAATGTATTATTAGTTTCAGAGATAGAGGCCAGTGATTCATCAGTCTTATATATTACCCAGTGCTCATTACATCACATGCCCTCCTTAATGTCTATCACCCGGTTACCCCATCCCCCCCACTCCCATCCCCTTCAGCAACCCTCAGTTTCCTATGATTAAGAGTCTCTTACGGTTTGTCTCCCTCTCTGATTTTGTCTTGTTTTATTTTTTCCTCTCTTCCCCTATGATCCTGTTTTGTTTCTCAAATTCCACATATGAGTGAGATCTTATGATAGCTGTCTTTCTGTTTGACTTATTTTGCTTAGCATAATACCCTCTAGTTCCATCCACATCATTGCAAATGGCAAGATTTCATATTTTTTGATGGCTGAGTAATATTCCATTGTATATATATACCACATCTTTTTTATCCATTCATCTGTTGATGGACATCTATAGTTTGGCTATTGTGGACATTGCTGCTATAAACATTGGGGTGCAGGTGCCCTTTCGGATCACTACATTTGTACCTTTGGGGTAAATACCCAGTAAGGCAATTGCTGGGTCAAAAAGTAGTTCTATTTTCAACTTTTTGAGGAACTCCATCTGTTTTCCAGAGTGGCTGCACCAGCTTGCATTCCCACCAACAGTGTAAGAGGGTTCCCCTTTCTCCACATGGAGCCTACTTTAAAAAAGAAAAAAGAATAATAGCTCTTAACTACCTTGTATTACTTTTTCTGTATTATGGTTTCAAGACTGAAACACATGGACAGTGAATGATTTAACTAAGAATGTATTAATACAGCCATCAGTCCCCTTGCTGCCTGTTTGTTTAGGGTTATCTTTGACTACTCTCTCACTAATTCTCAACTTCCAGTTAGTTCTCACATTCCATTTATTCTACTAGTCTTTTCCAATCTATTCCATTCTTCCTATTCCATTGTTGCTGATCTAATTAAGTACTTACCACTTTTACTTGAACTATTACAGTATCTTTCTAATTGTTCACTCCACTTTTACTTGAACTATTACAGTATCTTTCTAATTGTTCACTCTGATTTCAGGGTTATCGCTGATTTAACTTTCATACAGTTACCAACTTAGCATTCTAAAGGCATAGATATAATGGCACCTCTCTCCCCTGTTCCCAAATCTTCAGTTGCTTCCTATTGTACTTAGAATAAAATTTGCATACCTTGAACTTGGTTTTCATACCCATTTGTGGTGTGTCTTAAGCCTGTTTTTGTAACTTTATCTCCCACTAATTAAAATCCCTCTTCCTACCTTTCCCTTCAGCTACATTATGCTGTTCCCTTTTCTAAAATATCTTGTCTACTTTCTTCATTTATTTAAGCATTTTCTTTAGTCAGGATATCCTTATCCCCTTCCCTTCTTGATCTTAACCATCTTTCTTTCAGAGCTCCTAGATCTCATCATTGAAATTATTTTCTGTTTGCCCTATACTAACTTGTTCTTTGTTCTTATTTTATTGCACTTATGTTTGTTAGTGTGGTATTTCTGTGTTTCTTTCTGTTAAAATTGTGGGCACTCCTTTTCATTTGTATATCCCCCACAATGCCTTGACTGTGATAGGGACTTAATAAATGTTAGTCTTAATTTGACAGGACAGTGCTAGGTATCACAGGATGTAATGTGATTAGTTATGGATTCTGTAGAGGAACTGCTAGGAATTCAAATAGCAATTATTTCAGATTAGAATGGTCAAAAAGAGATTTTACTGGTGCACCTGGGTGGCTCAGTCAGTAAAGCATCTACCTTCAGCTCAGGTCATGATCCCAGGGTCCTGGGATTGAGCTCCGTGTCAGGCTCCCTGCTCAGCGGGAAGTGTGCTTCTGCCTCTTCCTCTGTCCCTCTCCCTACTCATGCCCCCCCCAAATAAATAAATGAAATCTTTAAAAAAAAAAGAGAGATTTTATTGAGGGAATTTAGCTTATCACATTAAATCATAAAGTTTAAGATAAACCGAAAATTGAAGTGTTTAGGAAATGAGTAACCTTTAAATATTTTGAATTGTTTCACTTTACTGGGAGTAGGGGTAGTATATTTAATAATGGTAATAAGCCTATACAAGGAGGAGAGAGTATACTACTTACATTTCTTTAATTCTTGCATGTATCTTGAAAATTCCCTTAAAAATTTATAAGGGTGATTCCTCCACTCAAATAACTGGTGTCAGGTGACATTTTTTTTTTTTAGGTGACATTTTAAAAAAAGAGGAAAAAGCCATTTTTATTATGCAGCCAAGTGCTTTAGTTAAAGCTATATGATTGTTTTTTATTCCTATTTCCTTAAGACATTTCATGCAATTGTGACTATAGATTGCCAGATAAAGAGTGATTTTAATTGGACTCTAAAGAATATCAGAAGATTATACAACTTATGTATCAGTTTAAATTGCAAATTGAGGTTGTTTTCAGTTCTTTTTTTCATATCAGATTTTTTATTCTTTTTTTTTTTTTT